TGAAAGCAGGAGGATCACCATGAGTCCAAGCTGCATAGTGAGACCCTGTAGCAACCAAATACATTTAAAAGAAAGAAAACAATACTACAAGGCTTATTCCTGCCAACATATCCAGGAGACTGAGAGAACTCTGCCGACAAAATGGCTCAGCACCTTCGTTCTTTTCTCTGCTTTTCAAAAGTTAACATCCCATCTTCACTTCCTAGTTCTAAGGACACGCTCTGCAGGACTGGCAGTGCACAATCCTCAGGGCCTAAAGATTCTTGCTTCCATCTTCTGAGCCTAATCACTCCTGTCATGTCAAGTTGCTCCACTTTGGAAAACTCTCTCTCTCTCTCTCTCTCTCTCTCTCTCTCTCTCTCTCTCTCTCTCTCTCAGGCAACAGTGCTTCTATTAAAAACATTTTGTAAACAAAATCATTTTATGATTGCCTCTACCTACTAAAACACATAGGGCATACATCAAGCAGCAAGTCACAAAGATACCATGTCTATTCACTCTGGAAACCCCTGGTGCACCTGCCCCACATGTATTACCATCCTTCATCTCTTACTCATTATTCACTGCATTACTTTTTATACTACCTTTTCAGATGGAGAAACAGAAGAAAACATGCCAAACTTTCAGAGAGTTCCTTGTGGAAGGCGGGTCTCCCTTTCCCAAGCCCCAGTCACGTAGCCCCCCTTCTCTGAGGCAGCTAGTAATCCATTTCACATTGACACCCAAGCGCGCGCGCACACACACACACACACACGTACCCAGCCCCATTAGAGACTCACCAAAATAAGGTTGAATCTAAGTAACAAGAATTGTAATGACCCTGGATACCTTTCTTCTTTCCAATCATTATCTCCAAACCTTCTTTTTCCATTTTTGGTGGAGTGTTTTCTTCTACCACCTCACTTAAATAGCCTCCAAATGCTGCCATGATAAAAATGAAAGTGAAAAGAATTCTCTTAAACTATTATAGTATATATGTCTTTCTTTTAAAATACGTTTTGGTTGACACAAAATTTGTTTCTCAATCTTTGGTTAACTGTTATTTGGCCTATATTATTTTTTAAAAAAAAAGGCTATTATTCATTTTCAATCTCATCTCTTTCACAATTTCAAAAACAAGAGTATTAGGCAACATGTAAAGAACATCTGTCCAGTAAAATACTTATCAAAAATGCTTCATTTTCAAGTCTGAAAAAAAAATCCCAAGTGTTTCTTCAAGATTACAAAAAATGTTTTTCATAAAGAAGCATTATCGATTTATACATGCTTAACCTGTGAGACGCTGCAATTGGTCCCTATTGTCAAGAACTGGAAAGGGACAGCACCAGGAAACTGTCCCCATACCAGGTAAGACAACTGTCTTCCATTCACCCAGCTGAATGCTGATTTCTTGACAGGACATCTGACAGGGGCACTTAACACAACAAGAATGAATCACTGCAAAAAAGTTACGTTTCAATTTCTACTTCCTGTACTCCTAAAAATTAAATGCCTAGTCAACAGGAAAGGAACAATATATCCTACTATTTCTCATTTAAGTCCCAATTTTCCTAACTAATACACTTAAAATGTCTAGTTTGATGACTATTGGCAAGAAACTCATTTAAGCACTGTACCATCCCTACTGTTAAATGGGAGAAAACGGAGTCCCTTCCTATTAGTAAGTAAATGGAAAGCACCCACTACCTAAGGAGTTGCAGCGCTCGATCTGATTGGAGACGGGCTGCAGGGACGCAAACCTGGAGTCCGGCCTGCAGCTCTTCAGCTTCACGAACAGTGCCTTCTTCAGGGCACAGGTGAAATACCGGGTGCCCCTAAAAGTTCCATCTGTGCAGCCTGCACATTCATCCTCCTGAAAAACAAAGGCTTCCACATGTACCTGCGGCCCTTAGGAAGACAGCCCACAAAACGGAGGCACTGAGGATGGGCTCTGGGTTCACCTTTGCGCTACATTCCCTCCTAATTCCTGTGATGTGAGCAGTATCAGGAAGGTGTTGGTGCCTCCGCCCACAGCTAATGACCTGAGAATCTAATTCCTTAATCCTGCAGGAGGTCCTCCATGCAATTCTTCCAGAACATATGCCTATCGCTTTCTGGAATGAATGAATTTCCTGTATCACTTCCACAAGTAGTAAGAGGAGGGTGAGATGGGAAATGCAACTCAGTGGGAAAGCACTTGCCCAGAATGCACCAGGCCTGTGTCCCATCCCCAACAATACAAGATATACAACTAAGTAAATAAAACTAAGTGGAACGGAGAAGCTAAGTATTCTAACTCTCTCTCCAATGGTATTCACTCGTATAGAAACAAACAAGAAAGCAAAAAAACAAACAACCCAAGAAATATATTAAATATACGCTAAACACATTCAAATTCTCCTCTCCCGATTATGAAATTGTTGACAAACTCCAAAGGGAAAAGTGTAAGAGCTCAAAAGATCTCTACATATGTAGGTGATTAATTTTAAAGCCATAATTGATACATCTTTATTGAGAAAGAAGCTGAGGAAGGAAAAAGCTGTTAATAGATATGTTTTCCTTACTGCATTCCATTTAATAAAAGGAACCTAAATACATTACCCTAAAAGCCAATATTTATTCCTTTGACTATCCATCAACTAACTTAAAAGCAAACTAGAAAAAGCTTAAAGAGAAGCCAAGCTAAATGGGAATATTTTTCTCTAGTGATGGCTTTTTTGACAAATACAATAGTTTGCCCAAAAAAAGCCAAGACACACACACACACACACACACACACACACACACACACGCACAATCTTCACAAATCCCCACATAGAAAAGAACTGTAGCTTTCAGGTCAAATTACATTACCAGTTCCAGGCCAGCTAGCACTTCGTTGAGCCCTGGAGGCTGGCCGATCCAGCGGATGACCCCATAGAAAGGAGGGTTCTCCTTCACCTCAGCCAGCGAGCCCACTTCCAGCCCATGGGAGGTCCCGGAGGCCGCAGGCAAGGGCGGGCTCTCTTGCACAGGAGCGCTGTTCAGCTCACCCATCACAGACTGCACCGACAGTGAGAGCGGGCTGTGAGCCATGCTGCCGTTGGTGTTGGGCATCTTCGTCAGACTGAAGGGCAGAGAGTGAAATCTGTTCTCACTGGATAAGGAGCTCAGGGACGGAGGCTGCAGCGGTGGTGAGGAGTGCCCAAAGTCTGGAGACAGCTCTGTAAGTGACTTGGCGGGATCCTCTGCAACTTTAAACAATTATTCTTAATTAGGGAAATTTATTCAAGAATACTGAATATGCCTTACATCTCTGAAACTCAATACACAGACCTAGTACAACTGCCCACCCGACCTCTCTACTAGGATTCTTACAAGCACTACAAATTTACTATCTCCAAAAGTGTTTCTCCCCAGCCCCAAACTTTTCTCCTCAGTCAACAGAACATAATTATTCAAAATTTTAAAAAATCTATTACTGACTGGCATTACCTAAGATATATTCTTTGCCTATAATACAAGTTAGGAATCAGTATAAAAAGATACCAAAAATTAAGAAGCACTTCTAAGTAATTTATGGAACACATAAGTTTTAAAAACAAGAAAAAGAAAAGGAAACAAAGAACTCTTGTGAAGCACACAGAAAGCAACACTCATAGAGAGTCTAACATGCAAGTGCACAACCAGAATGTAAGATCCATGAGAACAGCAGCTTTAAGTCCTTCCTGGGTTGAATTTACAATGCTTGGTATGTCACAAACACAAGAAAGTACCTGTAACATATTTATTTTTAAAAAGTAAATTAATCACATGCTGTAGAGAAAAGCTTTTTAAAATGTCATATAAGTAAAACTAACTAAAGGAACAATATTCTCTTATAACTAAATGACTTCTATTTTCTAATTTAAGGATGAAGACCTACTCTGCACAAAGTTCACTCTTTTATGTTTCACGCAGGTCTGTAAGGACCAATTTTATCTCATGAAATTATTACATATTAGATTCAGGTAGAATCAAGTAGTTAGAAGTATTCTTAAAAAGTCTTTTTCTTTTTTTAATGTATTTAGTACAGGGTCTACACGGTGTCACTACACAGATCGGACTCATAGTGATCCTCTTGTTTTCAGCCTCCCAAGCACTGGGATTACAGGCACATGCCACCACGCCCAGTCTCAATCGCCATTTGAGTGCACCCAGGGGCGGGGCCGGCACAGCACCTAGGAGATCGAAACCCCCAGTCCCTGCGTCTGCCTACGGAGGCACTTTAATCTGCTGAGCTATCTGGCTGGCCCTAATTGGAAATATTCTTGTATAATACAGAACACATATTATAAGAAAAATAAAATTATAGCATAAACCTGAATAATTGACATTGCCTGGAATATGATTGCTAGTTTCCTTTCCTGAGAAAACAAAAATGACCCCATAAGAAAAACATTAGCAAATCTACCAGTAACAACCAGGCAAGAGGGGCCTACACCACGGTATACCTGGATGGGCCCTGTACGCACCCATTATAGAGGTCTCTAGTACTATAAATTCTTGTTTTCATTTAGTTTGTACACAATCACTAAAACCACAACTGTCAAGTCCTGTTCTGAGCATAGGAACTTAGAGTCCAGCTGAGCAGAAAGAAAGAAAAGCAGTAAAACTGCTTTGAGGACACCTGGTCTAACCTAGGAGAGGTAGAAGAGCAAAGGAAAGGCTTCACAGATAGACTAAAGAGCTGGGATTTCAGAAACAAATAGCAGTGAGCCAGACCGCGAAGGTGGAAGAATAGGAAGGACTTCCAGGCTGCCAAAGCAGCAGGCACACACACAAAAGAGGCAAAGAGAGCTCAGTACATCCTAAGAATGGTGCCAGTCCTATGACTGCGGCAGGACAAGAAGACAGAGCTGAGACAGAGGCCCCACCATCAGGAAAAAGCCAGGAATTTGGATGCTTATGTTCAAGGATCGGGGAACAGTAATATATAGCATGCAAAGGAAAGGCAAGGACAGATAAATCTTCAGAAAAAGCACTCTGAAAATTAGAGACAGTATAGTGATTACAAGCTTGAAAAGTTAAATAAACAAGGCCTGAATACTGGCCCTCCTATGACTAAACATGCACATACGTAATTTAACCACTATAATGAAAGTATATGTAAAAGTATCTACCTCATAAAGTTGTTATAAAAAAATAAGTTGTTATGAGGATAAAACAAAAAAAAAGTATACAAACAACAGAACCACAGCACAAGTGAGTGGGAGAGGCCAGCTCAATAAGGCTGAGGAGGATGTCCACGCAGTTGGCTTGAAGGAAGCTGAAAAGATTGGTTCTGCTGAGAGGAAGCCAGTTACAGGCTCCACATTAATACAGACAAGAGCAAACAGAAGGTCTGAATGAAACCACGGTTGTTAGAAATGAAGAAGCAGGGAGAGAGTTCAGGGATGTAAAAGATGAAGAAATCAAGACGACTCATTTTCAACAGATATGACAGAGAGGGTGGAAGCAGGAACAGACATGGATGCAACCCATCCTTGTGTCATGCATATGCCTCACGCCTCCCTCTCCTCTCCTCATACCCTCAGCATCCTCCAGGCTGACTTATGCTAGAATTCCTCCACAGGAGAGAACCCTGAAGGTCACCAGTGACCTCAGATGACAAAATCCAGCGGGCACTGTGTGGTCTTCACCTTGCTTGCCCTCACAGCCGTCGCATGCTGCCCATGTGCTCCATGGCTTCCTGACCTAACAGTCTCTTGGATTTCCCACATCCCCTGGGCACTTTTGCATAGTCTCTGCTGAAGACTTACCTTTCTTCTACACTGGATGTTAAGCTCCTTGTTCAATCACAACCTATGCCCTCCATCCTTTCTCTCTCTCTCTCTCTCTCTCTCTCTCTCTCTCTCTCTCCCCCCCTCCCCCTCCCCCCCTCCCCCCCTCCCCCCCCCACCTCCGTCCTTCATAGCACTATTCGGAAGACTTCAACCACCTTGTGATGACACCTAGGCATCTCTTTGTCCAGCTCTTCTCTTCTAGGCTTCAAACCCATATCCAACTGCCCACTTGATGATTCCTTTCTAAGAAGTTGGAAAGGCCCCTTCAATTCAACAGTCAAAATCAAATTCCTCACCTTCCTCTACCACCATCTAAGTATGCAACCCAGAAAACCAGAGGTCATCACTGATACACTTTCCCCCCAAACTCTGCTTTCCAGCCCTATAGAACTCCTACCGATTCAACTGAATCTCAGATCTACTTCTCCCCATGTCTTCCCAAGTCAAGTTGCAGATACTACAGCCAATTACTGAGACCTGCAACAGCCTTCAGTGGTGGCCTTGCACTCACTCGGTCCCCACTCCAACCCACCGTCTGCCCTGCAGCCAGAAGGATCTTCCCAAGACCAAACCTGGTTACCTCACCTGCTGCTGAAAATCCTCCTGTAGCCCTGCACAGTGTTAGCGGGGCGCTCGGGCTCCACGTGGCCTGGCTCTGCTGCTGCTCTGTTCTCATCTCACTAAAGGCCGTACCTGTCTTCACTCTAGCTAGACTGGCTCCTGTCAGCCTCGGCAAACAGGAGGCTCCACTCTTCCCCAGGCCTTTGCATATGCCAGTCCCTCTGCTTGAAAAGCCCTTCTGTCCTCTCCCACTGTCACCTCACTCTGTAAGCCTAGGTGGCTGTCGCTTCCTCTGAAGACACCCCAAGCCCCTAGGCAACATCTCAGTGCCCTCACGGCATTCCATGCGCTGCCCTCATTCCACTGCAGCTCCACATCTGCATCTGTGCCTGATTAATTTCTACCCTAACAATTTGACTGTAAACTCAGAAAGCACAAGGGCAATGTCTATTTTTTCCCCACCATTATAACCTCCGAGAATGTCTGGCATACAATAAACCTCAGTAAATATTTATTGAACAGATGGACAAGAAAATGAACATGCCAGAAGAAAAGGTTGTCCCAGAACCAAGGGAATGTGGAATTTTTTAAAGGGAGTGTTTTAAAGAGGTCAAGAAAGACCCAGACAGAAAAGCTTTCAAATAATTCAACTGATTCTAGAGCTCTTCTACTCTAAGTAGATCATTAAGAGATTGAGCTACTAAACATTTTAAGTGTTTTATTAACCTTAACAGCAGTGCAGTTCAGAATGTGTAAGCATTTTAGTTTAGCAATATTAACAAATGTTTATTCATTCTGTTTCAAAAACATGCAAATATTGATTTAAAATCTTTTTTTTTTTTTTTTGATGAGTTAAGAGGATGAGTTCGCTATAAAGAACACTAAAATCATAGTTTACCTTCATCAATGTACCATGCATTTTTTGATTTAGATTGTGGTTGTGAGTCCACAGAAGATCCATTTAAGGTATAAAATAATTCAGATCTATTTCTGTTTCCGGGGTCTGAGGTAGATCCTAGAAAACAAAAGTTTCTTTTAAAAATAAAGCCAATATGTTATCACAGTTTTTTTTTGTTTGTTTGTTTTTTGTTTTTGTTTTTTTTGCAGAACCGGTGATTGAATTCAGACCCTTGTGCTTGCCAGGCAAGCACTTATTCTACTGAGCCATCCCCCCAGCCCCATCACAGTTTTTAATAAGACAAATTAAAACATATTCACATTTGTTTGTACAACCAATAGAAGTATACAAATACAATATATTTTATCATTGTAGTCTTCACTTAAAATACTGGTGGCCCTTTAGAGCCAATGCAGAAGAAGAGCAGGAATAAATTCAAGCCTGCTCATTCTGTTTAAATGCAAACTGTTCTAAGAAATTATATATATAATTTACTTCTAAATGTCAAGATTACCATTTCCCACTGCATCTGATGAATTACTTAAAATTCACAACTTAAAACTCACACCCTGATGGTTCAGTAAAGGACACACACACACACACACACACACACACACACACAAAGGTGTATAGGTGTGTCCACAGCAGCTGGGTTTGTGTACACTCTGTGACGTTCGCACAAAGACAAAATCACCTAATGATGCAGTTCTCAGAATGTGTTCCTATCACAAATGACACCTGATTGCATTTTAAACCAGTTGCTGTTGGAAGAACATAATCTCCCAATCTTGTATACAGATCAGACCACAGATTAAGTTTAAAAAGTTTTAAAGTTCAGGCAAGGGATGCACCCCAGTGCAAGAGCACCTGCTGACCATACACAAGGCTGTAGGTTCAATGCTGGACACTGCAAAACTACAAATTAAAGAAAAAATAATAATTCTAAAGAAAAAAGACTCAGGGACTGGGAAGATGGCTCAGTGAAATAAGTGCTTCCCTAGCAAGTGCAAGGGCCTGAGTTCAATCCCTGGTTCCGCAAAAAAAAAAAAAAAAAAAAACCATTCAATATTTAAACATTTTGGAATTGCTGACCATAAAATTTGTCACTTAATTTCATCAGTTTGAAAAATGTGGCACTATTATTTCTTTTTTCTTTTTTTTTTTTTTTTTTCAGAACCCAGGATTGAACTCAGGCCCCTGCACTTACCAGGGAAGCACTTACTCCACTGAGCCATCTCCCCAGCCCCATTTCTTCTATATTGCTATATTAAATGCAAACATTAGTACAGCTGTGTCACAGACATATCCAGACATGGCACTACCGTAGTGCTTACTGAGACAATGCGCCCCAGCAGAGAGCCAGGAGTCTGCAAAAGCCAGAGAAGCCCAGCTCTCACCCTCCATGTCAAGCAGACAGGCCTACATTCTGTACCTTTACCTCACAAATGCTGTAATATAATCAGCACCCAGTAAACCAGTAATCCCAGCTATTCAGGAGACTGAGGCAAGAGGATTGCTTGAGGCCAGGAGGTCAAATCCATCCTGGGCAACATAATGAGACCCGATATCAAAAAAAGAAAGGAGAAGGACTGAGAAAATAGCTCAGCAGTCTAAGTGCCTGCCTGGCAAGTGCAAGGACCTGGGTTCAATCCCCAGTACTCCATGTTGTGCCCACACTGTGCAGGCCACTGAAACTGGGCATGGTAACACATGCCTGTAATCAGAGCGCTCGGGAGGCTGAGACAGGAGGACCACTATGAGTCCGAGCTGCTGCATAGTGAGACCCTGTACCTAAATAAATAAATAAATAAAAGAAAAAGGAGAGCCGAAGACAGAAAGGGGAGGGGAAGAGAGAGAAGGGAAGGAGAAGGGGAAGGGAGATACTGGGAGGAGGAAGAGAATGGGGACTAGGAAGAGCAAGAAGAGGAAAAAGAGAAGAGGAAAGAAAATAAAAATGGAGTGAAGGAGTCAAGGAAGGAAAGAATACAAGCCCTTTCTTATTTTATTTTATTTCTAATGTATTTGGGTCAACAGGGTCTCACTACAGATTGGACTTGTAGTGATCCTCCCGTTTTCAGCCTCCCAAGTGCTGGGATTACATGTGCACGCCACCACGCCCAGTCTCAATCACTGTCTCAGCACTGCCTGGGAAGGGAGCCAGAATGGCACAATGGGGACCAAGCCCCGGCCCCTGCATCTCTTATATTTTTTATTTTAAGACAAGATCTCACTAAACTGCTGTTTTGTCCAGGCTGTGATCAAACTTGTGATCCTCCTGCCTCAGCCTCCCAGAATGCTCTTGGGTTTGTTTCACCCTATCAATCTATGCAGTATGGTGAAGCCAACAGAAAAAGAGGTATAAATTTGACATGTATCATGAGAAAGTTCTGAAGAGAGACAAAATTTTTGTTTAGCAGTTTGCAATTTAATTTGTGCCACATCTAATTATCTCCCTATTATCTCCAGCATACTTTAGCCTATATAACTACCCATGTATGGTTATATAGCTGTGACTTTCTGCTATGCATACATGTACACACCCACATGTGCACACACACACACACGCACACACACACACACACACACACACATTCAAAAGCAGGGGTTTCCAAAGCAGCTGATCATGGACCAGAAGAAGACTCAAATACTACAGGAAACTTATCAGGTAAAAGGTAAGGAATTAATGATTTAAGCAACATCATCTACTTTAAAATGTTGAAAAGAAGTAAGTCTATGTATATGCGATAGCAAAATAGTTTATAAACTTTTTACTGCCTGGGAAAGGTATTATAAAAGTTACTAAGAACTGCATCTTGTTCATACCTGTAGCCTTTGGTTTATTATGACTGGATGGACCTTTGTCCCCCACACCTCGTGACATAAAGGCAAGTTTGGGAGGCCTCCTTTCCTGTGTCACGCTATCTGAAACAGTAAACATGTTTTTTAAAGCTAAAAGCAAATTTTTATGGACCAGAAATAAGAAAACAATGACAACAAAAACAAAAAAAAAGCCTCTTTTCAACAAAAAGCACAAGTTTTACAATTTTACAAATACTTCTAAAGAGCATCAAAAGAAAAGCAATGCTGTATTTCAAAATACAATTTTTATAAGAAAATATACTTCTAAAATGCAATTCAGCTAAATGCTTCAAACTCTTGAAAACTCGATAATATGTATCCAATTTGGTTTGTTGGGGTCTTTTGTTTTTGTTTCTTGTTGTACCAGGGACTGAACTCAAGGCCTTCACACTAAGCCACATCTCCAGCCCTTTCAAATTTTTTATTTTCCGACTCTGTCTCACTAAGTTGTTAAGCTGCTCAGGCTAGGCTCAAACTTAGAACCCTGTGCCTCAGCCTCCTAGAACGCTGGAATTACAGGCATGGGCCTTCACAACTGGCTATCTGATGGCTTAAAACTACAAAGAAAACCATATTCACAATTTTTGCAGCATTCCTCAAATCAGTATGCTCAGAACACCCTCTGTATTCCACACTCAAAGGTTTCTAGAACATATTCAGATGAGGACAGTTTTTTTATCGCATAAAACCAGAAGCCTTACTATCCTAATGCACATTGAGACTCTCAGGAATGGGCAAACTTATGTGATAATACTATTCTGTACCATTCTGCTTAGTAACAGATTAGCATACTTCATAGAACAGTTTGAAAAAACTCTAAGTAGGAATATATTATCACATAGGAATATGCTCATGCGGAATATATGTTAGTTTTAAAAACACATATATGTTAAGAATAACATAGACATAGATGTAAACACACATATAAACAGGAAAAACAGGGAGAATTAATTACACACAGATTAATAATGTAAAAAACAGAGACATATAACAGTAATATTTTTGGAGAAAACACCCTAAAATTCTCTTTAAAGTATAAGTGTAATAAATTTGGCAAACTTGTTTTTGATAAAAGCATTCTAAAGCTTTAATCCCATTACATTTATAAGATATTCAAATACTGATCTAACAAATGTAGAAGAGTTGATATGAAAAGTTTTATCCTTAAAAAGTACAACACACTCATGAAGGCCAACATGACACTCAACAGTCATACCTGATAAAGCTGTGTACCAGCAAAAACGTTATCACCCACAGTGGATTTTTGAGGACAGAAAGAAAATAAAGGAAAATTTTTACATTTTAAATATAAGAGAAAGGTCACTGTTTTTTAAAAAGGAAATCATATTGAATTAATTTGATGTAACTTATGATTGGTAACATTTTCCAGGGTTGGAGGAAGAGGAAAACACACATTAAACTATACATCTTAAATCTGCTCCAAATATGAGCAAGTGAGATACTGGAATGTTATTTTAATTCAAACAGTATACTGATTAACAATGAGTTGATCAACGCTGAGAGTACAGTACAAATATTACCTGTGAAAGCTACCGTGGAAGAAAGACCTGTGCTGGGAGCCTCCCCACATTACAGAAGAGAAAGTGCCTACAGAAAGCCGATTTCCACTACTAACTGTAATCAACTGCATACGCCTGCTTGAAAAGCGCTATCTCCATTAAGGCACGAGACACACAGCCACAGCAGCAGGCCCTGTGGCCAGTTCCGGGCGCCTTCTCTCCATCAAGCTGTGAGGGCAGCCTCGAGAAGTCCTGGGCCCAAAGGGCAAAGACAAGCTGCGCCAGGGAGGGGTCGTCAGGCTGGGAATGGGAACTACAGGGCTGTGGGGTCAGAAACTACGGTCACCTTCTGCCAGAGATTTTGAGGAGGAGTCAGACACCACCTTACGGAGCAGGACACGGCAAGAGAACTCTAACCACACCAAGCTTGCCATCCAGCAATTATGTGCCAAGTATTTCTTATTACTTCTTCACAGCTATCATGATCCAAAACCATGTGGCACAAAAAAAACAAAGCCTCTCAAATAAATGTTAAGAGACAACTAATTTACAGAAAACAGAGCTATGACCACCAAGCAGCATGAGCCTATTCATAATAACCAGAAGCTGGAAACAATCAATTCTACAAGAGAATAGATTTTAAAAAATTGTAATCTACTCACACAGTGGAATATTATATAGCAATAAAAAGGAGCAAACTATTGCTATACACAACAACTTGAACAGTGTTTTAGGGAAAAACAAATAACAGACCTAAAGTGTGCATTTCACAATGATGATATTAAAAACTTAATCTATTACTCCTATTTATTTAATCATAAAAGGAAAAAAATTTAAAAATAAAAGGAAAATCCCTTGGAGAATCCTTAGGCTAAAAATCAGTAAACAGTAAACTAGTCAGTAAGTTTTGACAAACCAAAAGAAATGTCTATTTGAATGACTCACTAAATGGACAGAAACTGCTTAACTGGTATACTGCTTAACATCATCATCTACAGCCCAATTCAAACCTGAAGGACAATTTACCAGCAAAGAAAAATCTGGTGAGGAAAATATAGATTAACTTGACTAGAATGTGGTACTGTAAAATCTGATACCAACTGTACCACACAGAGCAATTACCCCAAATCTTCCCCAGTGTCAGATTACCGATAAGAATGAATACTTGCCTTATATTTTGGACAACTGCATATAAAAAGTGTATGTACATGAGACCTTAAAGGTAACACCACAGTTGCATGCTGAGACCTGGTGATTCAAAATATCCTTTGGGGGCTCTGTCTCATGGGACCAGGAATGCTGCCTACGTAGGCAACTCCGAGCGTGAGTCAGACCGACACCAACCTCAGAGGAAGGTACTCAGCACCACCTAAGCCGTACACCCCTTGGCCTCGCAGTCCTATACTGGGGCGTTATCTTTAGCCACACTACCAGCACACATGCAATCTGATAAATGTGCATTATGAAGTTATTCACAGAAGTACTATTTATAAAAGAACAAGACTGAGGACAACCTAAATCATCAGGAGGGCACTGGTGAAAAAAGCTTATGAAATATTCAAACAATATAATACAATAACTTAAAAAATTATTTGTGGAATTTATGTACTAACAGAAAATGATCTTGCAAACCAACTGTTAACTTAAAAAGGAAGGTATAACTTTCAGTTTTAGGAAGATAGAGTAGATATAATTTTCCCTACTCATACTACTAAGTACAATTAAAACTTTTGCCAGAATTTATAGAACAAGTATCACAAAACTCTGAAAGCTGGAGAAAGTACGGAGGCCACGCAGGGACCTCAAACCCAAGCAGCCACTCGACAGGGTCTCCCTGGGTTTCCTCCCTGACTCACACAGATACCAATCTTAGACCTGCCGAAGCCAGCAGCCTAGAAACATCCATGCGCAGAGACAAAAGTGAGCCTCACCAAGTCAAAGGACATCTATTCTCTCCAAAATCAGACTCCAAATATCAAGATTTTGCAGAGATGTGTACAATTCAATTCTAAAATGTATATAGTGAAGCAAAAGATCTGTAATAGCTAAAATGTTTTGGCAAATGCTTTTGTTCACAAGACTTACCACTCAGCTATAGTAATTGAGACAGTGTGGTTCTGGCAGTAGGCTAGAACACAGAGATCACTGGAAGAAAATCGAGAACCAAGAAAGAGGCACCCACAAATACGCCCAAATGATTTTGGAAAAAGGTACACTAGCAAGCCCACAGAAGATAGACAGCTTTTTCAGCAAATGGTGCTGAAACAATAAGATAGCTATAAACTCAAAATTTTAAAAACTTGTAAGGCTCATATCTTACAAAAATCAATTAAAAAGGAATCATTCACTTAAAGGACAATGTAAAACTCTGATGAATGAATGAATGAATGAATGAATGAATGAATGAAGAAAGAAAGAAAGAAAGAAAGACAGGCAGAGAAGAAAAGAGAAGAGAAAAGGCAAAAAAAAAAAAAATTGCATATATTGCTAGAAGGGGATAAAATAGTGTGGTCACTATGAAAACAATCTGGCAGTTCCAAAAATGACTAAATACAGAATTACCATGACTGAGCAATTCCACTCCTAGTCATATACCCAAGAGAACTGAAAACATATGCTACAGAAAAACCCTTATATAAATGTTCATGACAACATTTTTGTAATAGTCAAGAATTAGAAACAATCAACTGATGAACAGATAAACAAAATTCACACAATATTAATTCAAGTCCTATAAAAAGGACTTGAATAGACTCATAATACAATTGGAATAAGCCCTGAAAAAGATAGGCTTAAGTAAAACAATCCAGTCACAAACGTCATTTGCACGAAGCATCCAGGATAGCAATTCCATGGAGACAGTTTAGTGGCTGCTAGGGTGGAGGAGAAAGGAGGCAGGGGCAAAGGGATCAAGGATTTCCACTCAGAATGACCAAAAAATCTGGAATGCAATAATAGTGACAGATGCAAAACACTGTAAATATGTTTGATATTATTGAAATATGTTTTAATAGGATGAAATTCTACAGTTCTCATTTTTTTTTTTTTTTTTTTTACTATTAATGGTATATAAATTATACTTCAACTTTTTAAAACTGAGAAGAAAATCTTCCAAATCTAGCATTGGGCAAAAGTTGCTGGGCATGCCACTAAAACACGAATCTATAAAAGGAAAATTTTATACATTTAACTTTGTACAATCAAAATTTTTTGCCCCATGAAAGACACTGCTAAGAGAGTGAAAAGATAAGCTTCAGGCCAGGAGAAAATATTTGTAAATCATGGGTCTAATACAAGACTACTACTGTATCTATAATATGTACAGAATTATCAAAACTCAACACTAAGCCAGGTGTAGTGGCATACACCTATAATCCCAGCACTCAGGAACCTGAGACAGCAGGATCACCATGTGTTGGAGGCTAGCCTGGGCTACATAAGTGAGTTCAAGGCCAGCCTGCACTACATAGGGATACCCTGTCTCAAAAAAAGGGGGGGGGCTGGCTTGATAGCTCAGTGGACTAAAGCCCCTGCTTGGGCAGAGTACAGCGGCCAGGGTTCAATCCCCAGCATGAGGAGCCAGCCCCATCAGCAGGGCATGCTGAGAGGGTGATTGAGACTGGGTATGGTGGCGCGTGCCTGTAATCCCAGCACTTGGGAGGCTGAAAACAGGAGAATCACTGAGTCCCATCTACACAGTGAGACCCTATACACCCTGTAGATCCTGCCCTAAATACAGGAAAAAAAAAAAAAAAACCAAGTAAAAAAACTCAACAATAATCTCATTAGAGTCTATGCAAAAGAGGTAATTTTGAAGAAGACATATTAGAGATGACATAAACACAGGAAAATGCTCAACATCATGAGTTATCAGGGAAACACAAAACCACAGCGAACTATCACGCCACATCTTTCGGACAGCTAAAATTAATAATGATAACACCAAATGTTAGATGTAAAAAAGGTGGGCTTCCTCATATTACTGATGGTCATGTAAAATAGGACATCACTCTAGGAAAGTATAACTGCTGCTTTAAGAACTAACCATGTAAATGTATGAGCTGCATACCTGAACAATTATGCCAGAGAAACAAAGATCTGTGTTCACTCAAAAATCTCCTGTACACAAGTGTTTATAGAAGTGATTTATGAGGGCAAAAAGCTAAAAAGAAAGTGTATTTCAATGGATATGTCATTAAACAACAGGGGAACATCTACAGTACGGAGTATTATCTGCAATGAAAAGGAAGAAACCATCGATGCACAAAACAAAAACGACTCTCCAGAGAAATACGCCAAGCAGAGTAAGCTGATCCCAAAAGGTCACGCTCCACAGAACACTCTTGAAATGGCACCAGGGAAATGGAGAATAGGTGGGCAGCTGTCAGAGTTAAGGAGATGGGGAAGGGTCAGAGCTGAACCTGTACAGAAGGAGGAGGCAACACACAGGATCTTGTGCTGACTGGAAAGTCCTGTGTGCGGACCACACTGCTCCAACACCAACTGTGAAGCTGGGCTACCGCTGACAAGACGCCACCATGGGGACAAACTAGCCAATGGGCAAATGACCTTTCAGCGAAGGTGAATCTACAACAATTTTAAGTGTCTATAAATCATGTATCTGAGAAAGTCCTTTTATTTGGAATTATCAATAATTCCCCAAACTCAGTAATAAAAAAATTGGCCAAATGATTTGCACCCAGGG